TTTTAGAATAACAGAATATATTTCTACTCTTAAGCCACCCCTACACATACTTTTGAGAACTAATACAGTAAGCAGAATCCCTGTTCAGCACAAGTACAAAGATAAAGAATATTTTTGTAAAAGTCATCATGTTTATGAAGGACAGAAATTTCTCTGAGGGATATAAGCTCTGTCCTTTAACAGAGCATGAGATTAACACAATTACACATAGGTGGGTGTTGATGCGAATTTATATTACAATGTGTGAAGAGGACAAAAGACAGAAGAATCATGGGTAGTTGTGTCCCATTAACAACCTCCCTCCTCGGTTCTTAGCTTTCCTCTTTGCTTGACAGGATAAAATTCTAGAAGACATGGGCTGTCATCCCCAGTGCATGAACTAAGAGACATTGTGTTATGCAGATGGCTTCAAGCACACTGATGTTGAGTATCTTACCTGGATATTGAAGCTGGAACATCCCAGAAGGGAAGGACATACTAAACACATCCATGGGATCTGGTCAGAAAAATCATCTCATTGCACAATTTCTGTTGGACAAGAAACCAAAGTATAAAAAATGTAAAGACACAAGTAAAAGAAAGCTAATAACATACAAGGAAGTTAGACCTTTTGCAGTCAGGAGGGAGACCTGGGATGGAAGGAGAGGAGAGGGAGAGAAGAGCAGTGGTGAAACAAAAAGGAATAAGATGCTATATGTACTGTACCAAAAGCCTGCTGTAAATGTAGCTGAAAATATAGGTTAAAATTTTTTGTCTATGAGACGAGGCTTAGGTATTGTTTCTAGACTGCAGCAGAGTTGTGGAGTGAGGTCACTCAACCGCACCTCTAGCTTATATATTCCTGAGAGATCAATATCTAGGGCACCTCATTAGATCCACTATCTTAATGTTACTCTCCTCCCAGGAGTACCACCTTTACAAACTAACGCTACCCAAGTGGTGGATTCAGGATGATTCTTTTTCCTCAACCCCTGAGTCCAGAGACATAACGTGCATTTTCTTTTTTTTATTTATTTATATGAAAGTTGTACTTTACTTCTTTAATGGAAAAATGCATTTAGTTTTCAAACAAAATTCTTACATACCTTTAAACACAATAGATGCCCTCAGTTGTTTTCGCATCACCTAATGCTCTTTTCTTTTTTTTATTATTTAAAGAGAATACAAAATAGTAAAAAAAAAAAAAATAGAAATTATACAGAATTTCTCCAAACAAAACAGTAGGAATTTGACAGTGGCTACTATATTGCATAATACTGTCTTCCAATTAGTCGTTCACATTAACGGGTATCAGAATGCAAAACTGGCTTTAAAAAGTTATAATAAATTAAAAATGACAAGGAAAAAAATCTTCAACTGTCACCCTCTGTAGACCAGCAGAAGTCGGCAGTACAATTGTGAGAGCCCTCCTGCGTACGTGTGTGATAACGTGCATTTTCTCCCTTCTTTCTGCTCATGGTTCATGACTTGGTATCCATATGCCCACCACTGGTAACAAATTCCTTTAAGTTACAAGTAAGGAGTGTCTATAGAATTGCTGATATCTGGAAGACTGATTCTTCTGTTAGTTGTAAAACTGGATATCACATATGTGAGTATCAATAACAATTATAAATTTCAACTGAGATACTAAAGATACAAATATCCAGTGGTGTCTTCTGTGTCATTTATATTTACTGAACCTTAATTTTTGGCTTTTATAGTTCACAAAGAAGATTCTTGTCTATGTGGGTGTTTTTTAAATTTTATTTTAAAGAGAATAGAAAAGTAAGAGAAATGATACACAAGTTTTAAAACACAGAGGATGATAGGTATTCAACAGTGACTGATGTATTTATTACGCATTATTTTCTCCAATGTAATTGCTAAGATTACAGACATAAGTCTATAAAATTGGCCAGACTAAAAATGTAAACATTAACTGCTACCTTCAAAAAATAAATAGATGGGCTGAGCAAATAGCTCAGCAGATTAAAGTGCCTGTTTAGGCAGACACGTTGGCCGATTTCAATCACCGGTGTGCTGTGCCAGCCCCACGCTCCAGAACACTCTGAGATGGCGATTGAGACTGAGCATGGTGGCACAGGCCTGTAATCACAGATCTTTGGACGTGGAACACAGGCACATCAATATGAGTCGGACATAGGTAGTGAGACCCTGTAGACCCTGTACTTACAATAAATAAATAAATAAATAAATAAATAAATAAATAAATAAAATTAGTAGTAGAATCGTATTAGCTATCCTTTGTGTATACATACATGATATTTCCCTTTCTTAGTTTTCCTCTTTTCTCCTTTCCCTTATTCCAATTATTTACTCTTTATGCTTTATTTATTTATTTATTTATTTATTTGGTACAGGGTCTCACTACACAGTTCAGACTCATAGTGATCCTCCTGGCTCAGTCTTCCCAGTGCTGGAATTACAGGCATGCACCACCACACCCGGTTTTGGGGCCAGCACAGCACTCCAGGGGGTCCAGGGCTAGAGTTGAACTTGGGTACTTGCCCTTGCCAGGCAGGTACCACCGAGTTATCTCCTCATCCCCATATGCTGTTTTTTATTTTTACCTTTTATTACATCTCTTGTATCTTTCAGACTTTAGTTATTCTTTCAGGTTCTTATACTAGGGAGAAAATACTATGTTTGAACATGAGGGACTGATGTATTTTATTTATGAATAGAGCCTCTAGTAGCATCCATTTACCTACAAAAGCCTAATTCATCTTTCTTTATAGCTGAATTGTACGCCATTGCATAAAAATACCACATCTTTTCTATCCATTCCTTGGGTGATAGACTTTAAGATTGTTTCCAAGATTTATCTATGACAAATTGTGCTGCTATAAACATGGGTGCACATACATCACTGTGGTATGTTTTCAGTTCTTCTGGAAAAATATCCAGGAGGGGAATATTGGGGTTAAATGAGACCTATAATCGTAGTCTTTTGAGGAGTTTCCATGCTAATTTCCATAAAAGTTTTACTGGTCTACACTCCCACCAACAGTGGAAAAGAGTTCCTTTTTCTCCACAGCCTCTCCAGCATTTAGTACCAGTTGATTTCTTAATAATAGCTATTCTTTCTGGAAAGAGATGGAATCTCAGTGTCATTTTAATTTGCATTTCTTGAATGACCAGTGCTGTGGAACATCTTTTCATGTATTTACTTGCCACTTGTATTTCTTCCACTGAGACGTGTGCGTTCATCTCAGATGCCCAATTTAGATTGGGTGTTTGAATTTTGGGACCTGATACTTTTTAGTTCTTCATATATTATAGATAGAATTCCTTTGTGTGAGTCACTGTTGTTTAATATTTTTCCCAGTTTGCGAATTTCTTTTGATTCTCACCTATTTGCGCACTGAGTGCTGATTGCCAAAAATGCACACAGAATATGACAATCTAGAATTTTATAATCATTCTTTCTCTATTGTCAGAATGACTCCAAAGTTTTTCTCCACACATTAAGGCTGTGAGTTAAAATTAAATTGCTTTCATTTAAGATTCTTAAGACAAAATCACCAGAAGTCTGAGTGTGCACATACCCCCACGCACTTGGTGCATTTGGTCAGATTGCAGGCATCTTTTTACAGGTTGAAGGAATGCTTAGCCTTAGTGCTTTCTTGAAATTAATCTCTTGCACTCAAGGACTTCTATATTTTCAGGTTCATCAACATTATTCATGTGACGACAATTCATTATGCATGAATTTACAATTTCCAAGACAGATATGTAAACTTTAGGTCCAGGTGGTATTTCAATGTCTCTCTTCATAATATAACATAATTTTATTTTATTTTTAAAATTAATTTTCTTTGTATAACACAGATATAAATAATGATCATAATCATATGGAATTTGTACCTATATATGCTATATGTCTTGATCCTTCTTTATTTCCTAATCTCATTTCTTCCCTTGAACCCCTCTTTACTTAAAAGGTTTATTTTCATTTTATCTTTTTAAATCATATTTTTGTCATTCCTTCTTTTCCCCTTGACCCCTCCCTAGTTGAATAATCTCTTCCTATTTCACATTAGCTAATATATACCTTGGACCTTATTTACGTTTTCCATTTTCAAGCCAGAGAATAATGAGATATTTATATATTTTTGCCTGATTAATTGCACTTAAGCTTATGATATAAAGGTGTATTCACTTACCAGGAAATTTCTCAAATTTATTCTTCCTAATGGCTGAATAGTACTTCATTATATAAAAAGAGGCCTCTATCCATTCCTCAGTGGATGGGCATTTGAGTTAGCTGGTAGAAAATACGCTGCTATAAGCATGAATGTGCACATATCACTATGCTGTGATGCTTTTGATTGCTTGTGAAACATACCCAGAAAGAGAATAGCTGATCAAATCAGAACTCTAGTCTTATGTTTTTGAGGAATCTCCACACTCATTGGCAAAATAATTGCACCAATCCACACTCCCACCAACAATGGAATTGGTTGCTTTTTCCCTATAGCCACAGCAGTATTTTTATGGGCTGATTTGTTGAGAATATCCATTATTTCAAGAGTGAGATGGAACATCAGCAGTGTTTTAATTTTCTTATCTCATTCCTCATATGGTAAACATTTGGGTTGCTGCAGTAAACATGGGTGCACATATATAACTGTGGTATGATGTTTTTAGTACTTCTGGTAATATACCCAGCAGTGAAATTCCTGGATCAAATTGAACCTTTATTGCTAGATTTTTTTTTTCAGAACCAGGGATTGAACTCAGGCTTGCACTTGCCAGGGAAACACTTATTCCACTGAGCCATCTCCCCGGCCCCTATTGCTAGCTTCTTGA